CAGATGTCTACAAGAGGGACTCCTCCCTCAACGCCCAGCCAGGTCTCAGTGATACCCGCCAGGTCCGCACCCCCCTCTAAAATAAGATCTTGTATGAGGGGGGCCTTATTTACCACGGACCTGGCATTACATAACAACAGCCGGCAGTCCCGGGCCGGGGGATCTAAGTCACCTGGAGACCGAGTAGGGGCCTGAGGACTGGAGCACCCACAAGCTTGTAAATAGCGTGTGCGTGCTCCCCTAACCTGATATGGTCCTCTGCTCCCGCCGTATCTGCCTCTCCCACTGACCGTACTAATACCTCCCTCCTCCCTCAACCCCCCCACCCTCCCCCCCCACCCTTTCTATAACCTTGTATCATGTAGAGACTGATAACAGTTTACATTTTTAATGAAATTTTTTTTTTTGGCAACTTCATGTAAATGATGAATATCATATGAAGAAGAATGGATCCTTAGGCGATGTCATAAGATCATGTCCATGATGTCAAAGATGTGTAGCAGCTCCAAGGGACTGGAGCTGATTATCAATATTCTGTTTATACTTGGCTTCATTTTTTCCTACCAGCCTGAGTGTCTCTAGACTACAAGGGACTAAATATCAGAAAGCAAATTTTGACAGCAAAAAACAGAGTGGTTATTAACCCCAGGAATGTCAGTAATGAATGTTATGTGAGTTGTTCCGGGTCACAGAATTTGGGACTTGATATCTGATGCTAACTAGACATAGAGAAATTTTACAGGAAGAAGAATCTTTCATCAGAGCTGGCTGATAAGATGCATCTCTTCCTGACAGATTGGATTATGTTAATACATCTTTCAAGGAATGAGCCTTTAAAATAATCCAAAAATTATACCTAGAACAGAATCCATCTTGCATTATAACTATATATTTCTATCTGAAGAATGAAGCTGAGGAAGCATAAGGAGAGAGTTTGCAGAAGAAAAGTAGATCACAAAATAGAATGGCCAGTCATTCTGAGTCATACCCAGGTTCCTTGAGCAAATTAATCAAGCAAATGAATAGATGAAATTGCAGAATGATCTAAAGTTAAAGCACATATTTCAGGAGTCATAGGGTACAAGAAGCAGAGAAGGACATAAACACCATCATGAATAGCCAGCTTGCTTCAGTCTGCCAGGCTGAGTGTCTTATCCCAGATGTTGTTTGATTAATCAGCCAGGACAATCCTCCTCCTGTCACCTCTGAGCCTTATTTGCTCATTATTCTAACCTTGCAATATGAGAAGTTTTTTTCCCTTGGACTAGTAAGTGGAGATTCTTAACTTGACTTCTGCTATTTCTGCTTCTGAAGACATGTTTATCTCTGGCACTTCCTAGACAAATGACTATGATTCCAGTCTCCCATAGGTATTACATCCTCCTTATCAGAAATCTCTTTAGAAGCTATCCTGACAATAAGAGGTAAGTGAGGTCTCTTGAAGGTCTCATATAACTTTCAAGTTGAAAAAGCCTTCGTGGTTGCCAGTTGCATTCTGATTATCATGATTATTCATGATTCATTATTATCATGATGTTCTTTAAAGTTGAACACCTACTCTACATTCCACCCTATACTTTTATGTCACTAACAGGGCACGTTTCATGGGACCCCACACTGAATAAGATTGACATGAAGAATTAATTCTGGTTTCTACTGGGACAAGTGTTATGGATCAAAATGTCACCAATGTTGAAGCAAGCTCACTTCTCATTACAATTCAAAGCACAGATCATCAAATCAGAAATGACCAAAATCTCCTGTAGTTCCAAATACTAATTTTCTTTCTTATCTGTGAGATAGTTTGAATTTAGAAACTATATGTATCAACAGCAAGAAATACCCATATCTTTGGTTCTGTGAGAATTGTCTTTTTGTAAATTGCTACTGCTGCAGAAAAAGGGAACTGAAGATCTGTTGTCATAGATGACTAGATGGATTATAGGTGTTTTGGTTAGAATGTTCCTTTTTTAATTTGCTAAATAACAAAATTCTTAAGACTGATTTTCAAATATATTTTACAGAATAAGAAGTATGTTCTCATCATGGTTGATCCAGATGCTCCTAGCAGATCTAATCCAGAGTATCGCTTCTGGAGACATTGGGCTGTGACTGACATCAGTGTGAGTACCATGAATATTTGATATTTCTTTCTTGATATGTTTATTACATATTTTGTGAGATTTAATGGCTGTTTTCTACTTCTTATTTTAATCCTTCTCACATGAGTGATTCTTTTGGTTCAAAGTGTCAGGCTTTTCTTGTCAGACACAGCTTGATTAAATTATTACTGTAACTCAAGAACAGTCCTTATAAAACATTTGATGCCTCTGAGCAGTTAGGATTCCTCCTGGTTTAAATGAAGTACCATCTGTTCTACCTTTGTACAGTAGAATTCTGACTTTCCTTTTCAGTCCTCGCTTGTTAATGGCAGCTGAGTGTTTATATTCTACACAGTCCTACTCTGCTTTAGCACTTGAAGAAACAGACTTTGAGGATTTCTGTGCTGCTGTCTTGATGCTTGGTGTATCTGGAAAAAAAACAACCACTTTCAATTTCTCACAACTGTCATTGGAAAAGAGTAGTTTTGAGGACTATCATGTTAGCCCAGCCATATGGGAGAAATCAGTCATTGCTATGGGTAAAAGGAATAAGGGCAGAAACAAATGGATTATCTATATAAATAAAAATGTAAATGTTCGTTTGTTCAAAATCTTAAATCTCCGAAAGTTCTTCACCGATTGCTTTGAAATTTTGACACAACGTTGCATTCGAATACGCATGTGTTTTTATATACCTATATTATATAGATGTCACACCTGTGACAGGTAAAAACATGCTTTTTTAAAAAAACAGCACCTGATAACCTCTTTGATAGTCAGAAGGTTAGGATTAATGTCTGATTGTGATCTGTTAAAGTTTATGGTCTTCAGCCACCTGTTCTATTCAGCATTCTTCTACATATATTGTTGCAAATAATATACCAGGATACTTTGGTTATCCTTATGCTTGGCAGCCTGGGCATCTGAACTAGTTGGATGGTAGTGAAAGTAGCGCTGGATTTTCTGCAGTTGGTGATGCTTGGAGAATGTTACGTAGGGAACAGCTTAGGGCTTCATAGTTGCTTAGGCATTGCTTTCCTGCATGGATGAAATTTTTAGCATGTTATTTGTAATTTACTTAAACAAGTAGCCTCTTGAACATCATATTATAATAGTTCTATTACAATATTCCTCAACAGTTCCTCCCCCTCCTTAAATATTGAGAAGAGGTTGGTGGGTAGGTTGTACAATACTAGGGCACAAGGCCAGATAGTCTAATTATAGCAGTGATGAGATTGCTGCTGATTATGATTTTAAACTTTCTGATATGATAATATTGGATAATTTGTATCCATTTTTTTAAATTTCTGAAAAAAAAATTATTTAGTGTGTACTGGTAACCTAACTTAGGTGTTTTTGAATAGTATTGTTTTGGGGTAGTTTTAGAACAGAAATATTTCTGGTCACCTTATTAAACAGTCTACATTTTAAATAAAATAAGGTCATGTCTCAATGTCTATGGAGATTCTCAGTCATCCAGGTCATAGTTTTCCTGGATAGTTTTTCACGAGGCAACTGGACTTTCTTGTCTTTCTTTGAAGCCATTTCACTTCTCATCCAAGAAGCTTCTTCAGCTCTGACTGGATGGTGGGGAATGAAAGGATTTATACTCCTTGCAGACAGCTGGTCATTTGCATTCCTTTAGTGAGTCATTGAGGCCACCTGGAGGATTGTCTGTGTCATCCGGGTACAAATGGGTGTGGAGCCTTCTTGGAACTGCTGAAAGGACTGTGTTGTAGACTGGAGATAGATTATGTTGTATCCCTCCCCCTCTGTTAAGAGAGGGTTGTTCAATTTTGACCTAGATGGCCTCTTTGGCCCCACTTTCAAACCAGCAGACTTCTTCCAAAATGTGGAGTTTGCTGTCTTTGAAAGAGTACGTATGTATATTTAATGTATGTATATTTAAGAAATGTGTTCTCTTCAAAAGACCTCTGCTGAAGAAGCAGTAATATCATAATAGGACCATCATGATCTTTTGCCCCTTGCGCTATCAAAAGAGAATTTGCAAGTTTTACAATACTTCAAATGCCTGTAAAATGTATTTGACCTGAGACAAGCGTGAAAGTAAAATGAATATGTAAGTCAGGAGTAATGAATGATAGCCATACCATTCAATGGACTATGATCACCGTTGACTTCCAATGTTTCTTAATAGTCCAAAAATGAGCTAGCATAGTTCTTTGGTAGACTGGAGTAGTTTGTCCTGTAGTTCAAAACATTTTCTTAAATGCCTGGATATTAAGAAATCAAATAAAACAAGTACAGGATGGCTACTACCATTAAATCTATTACATTGTCTCTCATCTTCCTTTTCATGAATTACAAGTTTTAAATAAGACTACTTAGAATAATTTATTTCTCTTTATGCCTCCATTTGACAATACTGTATGTTTGAAAATTTAGGTGTTTCCAACTATGATTTGATATTAGTACTAAAGTCTAATTAAGATATCAATTAATAAAGCAACCTGCATTTAAAGAAGAACTATCTAGTTGTTCTCTATTATTCTCTAAAATTGCAGCCAAGTTTCCCCCCTTTCTTTTTTCTTTTTCATATACATACCTTAATTAAACTTTTTTTTATTGTTAATGGCACTACAGAGCAAATTAAAATTAGATATTAATACTTTTCACAATTTTCATAATTGGCTGAAAAGAGTAAAGCATTCAGAATAATTGTAGCAGCTTGTGTACCATTTTACTCCTATACAAATTCTTTCACAGGAATCTTTACACATTTCTTAACAATAGGGTCTTGAAAGTCTCTCATTAATTTTAATATTTATTAATCAAGGAAAAAAAGCTGGAAGTAGTATTCCTTCTTCTGTAGTCAGTTCCTTCTGGTATATTAACTGTTGCTAATTATTGTAATTAAAAATAACTTTAAGGAAGTTTTTTTTAAAAAAAAAAATCTCAAGTGGTGTAATTTTCTTCTGAAAAAACGCTTATGTCCTAATGGCATGATATTGTATATTGTTATAACACAGTGGCAATTCTTGTTTCCTTTATAACTGGAAATTTATTATTGAAAAGTTGAAACTTTGCACTATGTCTATAGCAGATTCTCTTCGGATTGTATAGATCTTTTATTTTTAATCTATTTTTTTTTTAAAAAAAAATAGGAAGTCAGGAAGATAAAGGGGATAGTATACAAGTAGTACTCAACTTACAACCATAATTCAGCCCAAAATTTCTGTTGCTAAGTAAGACAATTGTTAAGTGAGTTTTGCCCCATTTGATGATTTTTTTCTTGCCATTGTTGTTAAGTGAATCACTGCAGTTGTTAAGTTAGTAATACAGTTATTAAGTGAATCTGGTTTCCCCATTGACTTTATTTGTCTCGGTTGTTGCTTTTTTCACTGCAAATTGCCTTGGGAATATTTGGAAATGGTTCTAAACTCATGGACTTAGTCAACCTTTATTTTAGATTAGTAAAAATATGTAATATTGCAATCATTCAAACAATAAGAATATGTTATTCTACACCTTAAATTCTTAAACGTTTTAAATCAGGATGTCTTGAATATGGTTTGCTGGTTCTGCCTAGGAGATGAGTGAATTGATCATTTTCAGGGTCTGTGCAAGAGCTTCTTTTTTTCTCTTTTAACAGGAACAATAATTGACAAAGACCAGTGTTTTGAGATTACTAGAGAAGAATCGGTGGCAGGAAACTGCTAAAATTGATGCCCAGAAATCAATATTAGTTTTTTTTAAGTGCAATGGAGTTATAATTGCATCCCACTGCTTTGTATGCTTTAGCCTGTACTACTAATTTCTTAATGTCTGTTGTAGAAATCAGAGGCCTGGCTGGGAGAGTGAGGTATGCAAGCTCAACGGACGAGATGCATTTGTATCTAACTCTGAAGTGAAGAAAATGTGTAAATACATACCCAGTTCACTACAGAAGTAGGGCAAGTTAGCCAGAGATGATCACTTTTAATCTATTTTAGTATCTAATCTAATCTGCTGATTTGGTCTGATGGCTTTGTGTGTACACATAACAAAGAAATGCATAATGAATAACGTATTGCAATAGAAATCACTTTAATAAAACCATTCAGAAAAGGTAAGCGGCCTTTCTGATCTCAAATAAAGGCGGTTTCTCTTCCTATCAGAATTCTACTCTTTTCAGATACTTCTTGTTCCATTTGCAAATGGAAAGAGGAACCCAAAGAGACTGTATTTGCTCGGATACAAAGATACAGGGTCATTTTGTGGAGCATATTGCATATTATTTTGTAAGACCATGTTACAAATTAGATATTATTTTCCAACACCCTTCAGGGTGAATTCAGTCTTATTCTAAAGTTTTGGCAGAACTTTGATCCATTACTGTATGATGAAAATTTCAGTATCCTAATCTGAAACAAAAATGGTTAGAAAATTCATCGTTCAACTTTGTTGATTATAGTGTTATTTTAAATTTCAGAAGGTACATGGCTTAACTACAATTCAAAATACGCCACACACTAAAAATGCTTCTGTAAAGTGGAATAATATCTGTTGATGACTGTTTTTAAGGCCCTTTAAGTTTTCATGGTAATTTGCAGTTTAAAATTATTTAAGAGATAAGAACCAAATTAGCTCCTAAAGCTAGGAGGTCAGTATGTCCCATTATCCATACAAGAAGTGTTTAAATATAATCAGCCTTTACTCCAATGCAGCATAATTGTTCATTTGAAGTAGCTTTTTTCTTTCATTCAATGAATCATTAAAATATTTAAAGGATAATGCAGTGAATTAGAAATAAATTTATCATATTATCCCGGATACATTGAGGAGTATCAAGTAACTAGGTGGAGGCTGAACTAGTTTACAAAGCAATCCAATAAACATTCTTTTAAATACTTTAAAATAGGGAAGGGATAAATTATACTATCACATTTTGTTTGCTGCTTTTTTTTAATCATGGGCAACAATAGAGAGAAGCAAAATGAATGCTCTTTGAAATTTCCCTGTTCTAAGATTTATTTCTTCTAGAACAATTATTTGGAATAAAAAGCCTGAGCTGTCTAACTAATCAGAAAGAGATGTTGGGATCATAGTGGATAGTTTAATGGCTGGTGACTCAGTGTGTGGTAGCTGTGAAAAAAACCAATTCTGTATTAATGATCATTAGAAAGGGTTTGAAAATAGGACTATAAACATTTTAATAGCCTTACACAAATCTACGGCACATGTCTGCATTTGGAATTCCATTCTGGTTGCCACACTTGAAAAAGAAAATAATAAAGAAAGAAAGTACAGAAGAGGAAACCATGAGACTTAAGCACCATTGTCATGAAAGAAGACTAGAGTATTTGAAATTCTATGACTTTAAAAAGATTCTGAATTGGAAAGGGACAGGACTAAGGTGTGTAAAGGAATGAGAATGGAATCAGGGAAACATTTTTCTTCCTCTCTCAAAATGCTGTGACCAGTTCTCGTTGATGAAAACTGATCAGAAGAAAAGACAAAAGGCTTCTTCACGCTGTATATAATGACCATTAACTTGTATACTTTTTTAAAAGGGAACTGGATATATTCATGGAGAACAGGTCTACCAAGAGTTCTTAATCTCGAAGATCCCGTGTTAACTGTGGGTTCAGAGCAGCACTCTTCAGATACTAACAGCAGAGGAATGAGAATGGAAGGCTAATTTTTCATCTTCTTAATCAAGAAAGCTGGATTAAGACAGGCCTTCTATTAGTCCAGTGAGGCTATTTATATGTTCTTCTGTTCATTGTGAAAACGTCTTCTTACGGGAAAAGTTTTGCGTGATGCTTCTGTTTTTTTCACTTGGTGAGGGAAAGTTCCTAAACGGAATTATACTCATTGAGCACCAACTTTAGGAATACGCCTTCATATGTGGTGGGAGTGCCCGCGAGCTTGTGATTTTTGGACTAAGGTTAAAGAATGGTTGGAAGAAATACCAGAGCGAGTGGTAGAGTTAAAACCAGAATTTTTCCTGTTAGGTATAACAACGCAGAAGTATGACAAAGGCATACTCTATTTGATGCTACACATTCTAACGGCTTCCAGATTGGTTTATGCTCAGAATTGGAGGAATAAGGGAATTCCAACGGAAGAAGAAATCCTGTATAAAATTTTATCGTGTGCAGAGATGGACAGGCTTACAATGGCTATGAAAGATAAGACAGAACTGGAATATTTCGAAATCTGGGACAAATTTTACCGCTGGTATGAATCAAGGAGAACCGCTCGGATCTTAAGCTAACGATAGGATTGAAACATACATATAATTGTACATATAATTGTATATATAAATTTGATCTTTTTCAAGGCTAGAGGGGTGCAAGTGCATACTTGGAGACTTGAACATGGAACGTTTTAGTGAAGCCCAGAAGTAAACACTGGGTCACTTTCCCTCTCTTCTGCCTTATTTCCATCAGCTACTTGGAAGAGCACTTAAGAGATACAGTTTTCTTTGACACACTCACTGTGAAAGGAAGTCCCAAACATGCCCATCCTAGGCAAATGCAAGCAGCCCTATCTCTCCAGGCTCCAGGTGTTCTCATTAAAGATGCTTTGATGCCTGAGGTGAAGCAGCAGGGACGGTGAAGAAAACAATCTGTTCAGTGATGAACATGGTATGGAGACAGCTGTTCCTTCTGTGCAGTACAGTAGCAGTGTGAAAAGCATATCCCACTAGCATGTTAGACTAGCAAGCTGCTTCTGTGACATGAAGAGCATGGCTGTTTTCGTCAGCAATGAACTCTTAATCATCTCTGTGTATAATCCTCTATCTTAAACAAGTGCAGAAGAAAGGATAGAGAGTGGCATCTCTTCTGGGGAAGGATCATCCTCTCATCTCTTAAGGATTCTGCAATTGGCTTCAATTGACTTTGTTGGTGATTTTTTTTTCTTATGGGCTGATGGAGCGGTTCTGGGTTGCAAGTGTCACCATAGAAACAGGTGCTAACTATATTATTATCTTTATTGATTAGCCCTTGGGCCATATCAAAGTGCAAAGTTCCAATAACAAACCATTACCAAAGTCTAATAAAAGCAATTTAAAATAGAATTTGATAAAATACAGTTTAAAATGGAACTAGAATAATATATGACTTAAGATGAAATTGGAGTAAAATACAGTCTAAAATGAAGTTAAAATAAGTACAATAATTTAAAACATAGATAAAATATGATAAAATTATATCTTGGAGTCACCCATGCAATCTACCCCAATCGGTCCCACATATGCAGATCTCAACCGAACCATTTTGTTTAAATACTGTGCTGCGTTAAATGTTATTTTCAAGTTCTGGCCGCACATAAGGTAAGTTGTTTTAATATGGGGATCCCAATGAGTCATTCATTTGGTATATAGACCGAAGTACCTGTCTCTCACCCTCTTGTACAGGCAACAATCAAATAGTATGTGAGCCAGGTCTTCTACCTCTGCTGCTCCGCAAATGCAGAGACGCTCATTGTAAGGTGCTAACTAAATCAAAAGCTTTATTAATTTGTGTGTGTGTGTGTGTGTGTGTGTGTGTGTGAGTGAGTGAGAAAAGAAATGCTCCTCAATTGGGACATTTTTGTGACTGGACTGCTCAGAGTTAGTTCTAACTTCCTGCTTGACCCATATACATTGTGTTGAAAAAAATTACAGCAGATAATTTAGATTTTATCCCTCACACACTCAAATCAATCCCTGAATCAAGATCAGAGTAAAAAATGCGCGTTCTTTTTAAATTTTGCTTGGTCAAAAACAGTCTTTAGAGTGAAATGGGCAACATAGAAATTAAATAAATAAATTGACAAAAAAAAGGGCAAAAGACATTTACATCGTTAAAGAAACAATTTGGTGGATGGGGATGATATATACAGTATGTCAAAAAATATGCATTTTTACACAACACCTGCCTTTATATATATATGTACATTTTTGGCTGTTATATTTTAAAATGGAAGTTAATGGACTCCATCAATCATTCTGTTTTGAATCTATATGAACCACTTCATTCAAAAATGATCACTTTACATATTAAAAAAAAAAGAAGTACATTTGTCTATGGACATACCAAGACCATAAAGTCAGCATGGGCCATACAAAATACAGAAAGTATGGAGAGATGACAGGCTTTGTTAGATTAAGCTCACCTACAAGGGATTTGCTATATGTTACTTCTAGGGATGCTTTTAAGGATTTTTTTTGTAGAACTGAAAGCTACTTCAGGTTGAAGGAAAGATCCTGTTCCTTCCCTCCTCTAGTTCTCTTATGAATTTTTATTTACCCATCCATAGATGTCTCTGAAAATTCAGACAGGTTGACATAGTTAATACTAATATGTGTTTCGTTGCAAAACCTTTTTTACAATTTAATAATATGTGATATATGCAAGCTTTTTGGGGGAGAAAGGACAGCCTGACCTGATTCACCCAAATGTTAAACCATCATTATTGAATAAATTACAATTGGCCAGGTGTATACAAAAATGCCATCCCAAAAGTCGTGATTTATAAATCACAGTAAGTGAGTTCACTAAAGCCAACATTATTACTGTTTAGGGCAGTGTGTGAACTTTAACCTTCAGGGTACATAACAAAAATGCTTCAATGGCTATTCAGGAATTGTTTTTGTTGCCAATATTTAAATTCCTTTATGAGTTTCGGGGGCAAAGATATTGCTGAGAACTGTGCTGTCTAATAATATCTAGATCAGTGTTTCTCAACCT